CCCCCCCCCCCCCTGAGAGACTGGGTTTAGCTCTTGTAGACCAGGCTGGTCTCAAACTCAACAGAGATCCTCCTGCCTCTGCCTCTTGAGTGTTGTGATTAAAGGTGTGTAACACCACTGCCCAGCTAATTCTTAGGTTTCTATTGCTGTGACCAAAAGCATTTTGGGGAGGAAAGTTTCAGCTTATAACCCTCAGGTCACAGTCCATCACTGAGAGAGGTCAGGACAGGAACCCAGAGAGGCAGGAGCTGAAGCAGAAGCCATGGAGGACACTGCTTACTTGCTTGTTAGCATTTTTTTATGCAATTAACAACTACCCGCCGAGGGATGGCACTGCCCACTGTGGACTGGGCCCTTCTATCCCACATGAATCACTGATGTGGATCTCAAGATTCGAGGGCAGCCTGGTCTACAGAGTGAGCCCCCCCACCCGAACTGACAAAAAAAGAAAACGAAGAAACCTGGAACAGTGATGGATCACCTAAATATTTACAAGAGGATCCCATGCAATTGCCACCTTCAGTGGGACACGACCATGTTCTCCTGATAGTCTATAGTTTTTGTTTACATACCAAACAAGAGGACCAGCGGTAGTGAAGAGGTCACTGGAAAACATCTTTATGGAGTAAACACTGGAGACATTCCAGTGACAGTTATTTTCTTAGGTAAATTGTGTAACTGTTAAATTGGGTGTTAAGAGTGATGCTCATCTGGAAAAGCTAACGTTTTAACTGAATTTTAAGATGGGTTGAGTTGGCCAAAGGTACTGTAGTTAGTTATATGGGTGGACTGATTCAGGAAGTTTGTGTCTGGAGGAGCTTATGTTTCCTATTTCCCAAAATGCTGATGTGAATTCACAGTGAGGGGCTTTAATACATTACGCTAATGGGCATTTTCCCTTTGACCTGGCTTTCTAGAAATGTACTGAAAGATTGTTTTAGAACCCTGGGTATGTGTGGACTTCAGGACCTCCCTCCATTTAGGTTTGCACCGTAAAACCAAAAGGGTCCCTTTGGAAGCACATAGCTGTTAGAGACTAAAGCCTAGAAGGGACATTTTCTTAGATACTGACAGCATTTCCCAGATGTTAGCAAATCCACCCTGAGACCCAAGTCTCTGACTCTCCTCCCTAAAGTCTTAATGGGATCATGCTGTGATCTGACTTCCTTCAAACACTCGCTTTAACTGCTTGGATTCCACTCTACTAGACGTTATGCACTTTGCTCATCTTTTTATAGATGTGTGGACTACAGGGTGCTGAAGTGAGCAGGCATCTAGGCTCACTCTTAGACCATTCCATCTGCTACACACCAGTCTTCTCAAGTCTGCACTACTGACATACAGCTATCTATCTGCTGACTACTAAAGGATCTTTTAAGAAGGCACTGCAGACGATGTGTAGAGGACGTAAACCACAGTGATGTGCTTCACTCGGTAAGATGTGAACCAAAGGGGGCAATGGCTCAAGTTTGTGTGTGTGTGTGGGGGGGACATGACACCAACAACTGGGACACAGCAGAGCTGTGAATTCCACTTGCAACGGGCACAGACTTTTGCACTAATTTAGCATTGTCAAAGACTACTTTTCAAAAGTGTGTGTATGTACATTATATAAAGGGTGGATCTGCAGCCCAAGGAAGCTAGAAGTTGGAGGAACTAGTTACAGATGGTTGTAAGCCACCATGTGAGTGCTGGGAAACTGAATGCTGATCCTCTGGAAGAGCAACAGTGCTCTTAACCACTGAGCCATCCATTATGAGCCTCCAGCCCACTAGCTGTGGGGAACTGGTACTACTGTTTTCTTAGATGCAGCAGTCTGATGTCCAGATGAAGCAAGTAGAAGCTGTGACTTTTTACACCAATGCCTGAAGTAGAGTGAACCAGAACTCCTCCATTTAAGAGTCCAGCTTCATGGTACTAAAGGAGGTTAAGTGGCTGTCAACAAATACCAGTCTCAATGAAAGCAAGCGTTAAAAAGAGCTCATTATAGTACCAATGCAGTGATCTCACGTTAAAGAGCATATGATGGCTCCAGAGTTTCTCTCACTGGTGCTGGGTAGGACCCTAAGCACCATAGGGCACTGTTGCTTTGAAACCAGTGACTTGTGGGACACTAGGCATCCTCAGTGTCTTCTCATTAAACAGCAAGCCTACTCAAGTAAGCTTCCCAGGCAGCTTTTCTATACATCTCGGCTGCTTCCAGGCGGTTAGACGCTCCAAGTATTCCCCGGCCTACAATGATGACATCAGAACCCCGCTTGCCAATCACTTCTTGAGGACTATTGTACTGTTGGCCAAGGTGATCCCCTGTAGAGAAACAAAAGCTATTTAACAATAATGCAAACTCAAAAAGCCTGTGGAAGACATAGGAGGTGACAGGGTCAGTCTATCTAAGATATTAAGGTAAATCCAGACAGCATGTATTACCATTCACCTTACTATTCATAACCTTTCTGCTACAATTCTACCAAGTTCTCAGACCCTAATCCTTGTTTTCTGGAAAAAACCAAACTGGCCTTGAACTCAAATCTGTCTGCCTCCCTAATGCTGGTATTAAACACATTTGCCATCATACCTTGATAGGCCCTAATCCCTGATGACTTTTTATAAATTTCTGTTGTAGAAATGTTATGTTAAATGGGTTTTGAGGCTCTCTCTAATGTGCTATCTAGTGAAAGAATTACAGGGGCTTACAAAGCAGTCAGATGCAGCTGGCTTTGTAAGCACTATGCTAAATGGATGCTATTCATGCGATTGCAATGCCTCCCTACTATTTTAAGGTCAGGACTACAATCCCTCCACTCCACAGATCAACAAGATGAGACTAAAAGTAGCTTATTCTGGCTTTAAGAGTTGTTGCCTCAAGTAAAAGCGTTTGACAAGAAAATACGGTAAAATTATGCATTTAATTTTTTAAAAAGGCGCCGGGCATTGGTGGCGCACGCCTTTAATCCCAGCACTCGGGAGGCAGGGGCAGGCGGATCTCTGTGAGTTCGAGGCCAGCCTGGTCTCCAGAGTGAGTGCCAGGATAGGCTCCAAAGCTACACAGAGAAACCCTGTCTCAAAAAAAGGGCCAGGTGTGGTGGTGCGCACCTTTAGAGCTAGCACTTGGGAGGCAGGAGCATCTGAGTTCCAGGACAGCCAGGACTGAATAGAAAGATCCTGTCTAAAACAAAGATGGTTAGTGGCCTGTGTAAAGATACATGATACTAGAACAAAACAGATCAACACAAATGCAGTTTATAAACCAAGAGTTGTTGATTTCCAAGGCCACTTAGTCTGTGGAGGTCTAGCTACTCCAGCGTGTAAAATCTGAGGTGTGCATGCATCTGCATCACTGGTTTTCTGACTCCCTTTCTATAATGAGAATCAAAAGAAAAGGCTGTGCTTTTTCCCAATGTGACAAATACTATAACATAATCCTAATAGTCCAGTGTTTGAAACATTGACATACATCCTGCATATTTCCCACTCCTTCAATCTATAATCTGGATAGAGAAAGCTGGGAAATCCGAGTTCTTAAAAAAAGCAAGGGATTTCTAGAAATACTCAATAGACAGAAAAATACACAAGGTTGTTCCTGGTTGTAAACTACATGCTCTTACACATAGAACATGATGTTAAAACTACACAGTTGGTTTATGAGGTGCTGGGGATGAACCCCAGAACTTATGTGAGCTAGGCAAACACTGTACCAGCTAAGCTACACCCGAGTAATACCCAATCCCCCTCTACCTCCTTCAAAACTAAACCCATATACTGAGTCCTACAGGACAATTACACTTTTGTTGGCAGGCAGGGGTAAGGTGCTGGAAGCTAAACCCAGGGCCTCACCCATGCCTGTCTTTACACTCACATTTGAGACTGTTCTGAGTTTAGGAACCACTGACAATTATCTAACTGCTTAGCCAAGGGCTTTCAAGACCTTTTGGAACACAGAATGGGAGGAATACTCAGAGCACCAATTAGGAAATGCTAACCTAAAATATCAAGTTTCTGGCCAGCATGGTAGCACATGTCTTTAGTCCCAGAACTTAGAGGCAGTTAGGCAGATCTCTTCAAGTTCCAGGGCCCAGACCCTGTCTCTGGACGACGCCAAATAGCTTTCTAAAATTAAACTGCAAGCTGTCTTACAAACATAGTACATGCTATCACCAGGCCAAGGGGCTTGTTCACTGTTCTAGACTGAGATAACACCATCACAGCATAGTGTGTTACTCTGCCATAACTAGTGAGCACACTTACCTCCTGTTTCTAACTGAACTCCTGGGGTCAAATGAAGAAACTCGGGTTTCATGCTTACTCGGGAGCCGGAAATAAAGCCAACCACAAATCCACAGTGCTCCTCAGCCATCCCAACCTACATGGGACATAACAGACAATATTAAAAGAACACAGTAACACAGGAAAGCCAGCCCAAGTAAAAGGTCCTGAGCCTTTCTCCAACAAACCATGCTTGAAAAGACCCGAACTTCTATAGTATAGGCATCAAACAAGATGCTGTATAATTCTTACTTGTAACAATGCCTGGTGACTCACCTACTTCCAAGAAGGACGCGGGGTGTGTAGCATCACAGCTCTTTAAGATGTAGCTGTTCTATCTAAGCATCATTCTTCCAGCACTTTCCCTTTTTAGCACCTGTTCTTTACTGGCCGCCTCATTCCCATACTATTTCATCACAGGTAAAGCAGGCCTGGCTTTGATTGGCTATTGCCCAATCTCACCACCAGCAAGTGACAGTTTGCCCTTGAGCCAGACCTTACTCCCAGACCTTTTGAGACATGGGAAGCTAGTACTTATGGTTCATTTAGGGTGGGGTTTTAAATTTACCACAGCAGGCTGGATCAATGGCTCAGCAGCTAAGAGCAATGGCTGCTTGCTCTTCTAGAGGACCCACATTTCATTCTCAGCACACAGACATATGATTAAAGCATTACTGTGTTCCTTAAACTGTAAATATTATCTACTTTCTTATGACTAACCAACTATAAGTTTTATCATAGGAAAATGTGAAGATTAACTTAAAATTCAACCATCTTCAGTTTTGCCTCAAGATGAAAAGACAAGCATAGGCAGATGGATATGTCTTAATGATCTGGAGTTCAATTCAACTGGCGTTAATAAACTGTCCAGTAATGGCGGAGTAGATCAAAGTCTTGTCTTGCCCTAGAACATGCAGCACACACTCACCCCAGCACCCCATCACTTACTGCTGCTTTGGTATAGTTTCCAGTGGCCAAGGAACCAGCAGAGCTCATTTCTGCAATGAGCAGGCATGCTCGATGTAAAGGCAAGCCCACTTCCTGCAAACCTTTCACAACTCCTGAGCCTGGTACCACATGGGCATTTACTAGATCTGCCCAGGAAGCTATTTTAAAGATGCCACCTAAGGAATAAGAAAAAGAAATTTACTATGTTTGAAAAGGTGAAAATCAAGAAGTCACTAGTTAAATTTCTTAGCCAGGAAATGGTAGCACACAGCAGGCAGATCTCTGTGAGTTAGAGGTCAGCCAGGTCTACAAAACAAGTTCTAGGACAGCTAGAACTGTTACATAGAGAAACCCTGACTTGAGAAAAGAAAAGATATTCACTAATTATCAAACATATCTCTCAGCAATTTAATCCTCTATAGGTTCCTTGTCTTTTCCAATCTTAAGAGGCAACTGCACCCATTTTGGTTTTTTTAAGATTTTTTAAAAAATTATGTATAGTGTTCTGCCTGCATGCTGTAAGAGGGCATCAGATCTCATAGATGGTTGCTCAGGACCTCTGGAAGTACTCTAAACCTCTGAGACATCTCTCCAACCACCTGTATACATTTTAAACCAGCAGTAAAAACGCAGAGTTTTGAAAAACCAACACACAAGCCTAAAGCAAGGTTACATAACTCTGACTTGAGCTTACAGGCTGAACTAAGCGAAGCAATGTAGTAGTCATGTTGGACATAGTACATGAGGTAGCAGACAATTATACTTGAGAGAAACAGTTAAGTAGAGGTAAGCACTAAAAATAGAAGTCACATGGCTACATAAACAGTTAAGTGAAAGTGTCAGAACTACACAGTACCTACTATGGCCACTTGTTTCTTTTTGTTGTTTTTTTGAGACAGGATTTCTCTGTGTAGCCATGGCTGTCCTGGAACTCATTCTATAGAGATCAGGCAGGCCTCAAACTCAAGAGATCCATCTGCCTTTGGAGAGGCAGATGAAAGTGCTGGGATGAAAGGCATGCGCCAACAGCCTGTTTCTAAGAGCAGAAGTCTGCATTAAAAAACAGGTACAGGATTTAAGCATTTCCCACTTATAAACTGCTTCGCCTGACTGATATTAAAAACTTAAAAAGTGTTATCAATACATTATGTTGCTAAACATATTACTTTATACTTCTTTTCCATCCTTTCCTATATTGGCAACTTTTAGTTAGGCCAACACATCTTGTTTTGCCTGCCTAGAACTCACACGTACCCTTCTGATAGCAAGCTCACTCGTTTTCTTTAAGAGAACGGGCAGGGATCTCAGTCCATGATGGTTAAAGAGTTGAATCTTGTACTTACAGGAACAGGAATATTCCCCAGGGCAGCTAATGAAAGGAGTTTACACAGAGGTAAGAGTGAAATTCCCTAACTGAGAAACAGGTCAACAGAGAAAGCAGAAAAGGGAACACAGCCGAGAGATGGAGAGAAACAATGTCGAAGGTGTCACTTCAGTGCCTGGATTCAACTGCATCTGACAGCGTGTTCCTTTGCTGACTTTTACTCATGAACCACTACGTCTTCTCCTACATGGTCAGTCTATACCAGATTTCTGAACACTTACCTTCATACTGCTTTTTCACTGTGTTTCCTATATCAGCGAATTTCCTGTCTTCAAATATTAAGAACTCATGGCGTTTCGCCAGAGCTGCCAACTCCTCCATTACATCCAGAGTGAAATCATTCAGAATATCGACATGAGTTTTGAGCATGCAGATGCTGGGTCCCAAGGCATCTGCTAGCTGTAGCAGCTCTCTGGCCTCAGAGACATCAGCAGATAGACAGAGATTAGTCTCCTTCTTCTGCATCAGCCTGAGAAGTTTTGAGGCAAGTGGGTGGACGCCAGGCAGCTCTGCTCGTGCACCAAAGCTGAGTTCTTTGCATGCTTTCTTCTCAGGAGGGGGAACACCATTGTGATTAGTTGCTATGAAAACATTCTCCTGAATGAACCTCTTCACTCTCCCCACCATCTCGGCATCAATTTTTTTCTGCTGCTCGAGAATCTCCAGCATTTTGGACAACGTGCACACGGAGTGGAGACGGATCCCCTGAGCTTGCAATTTGTCCTTGCCTCCCTGCTCTCGATCTAACAGCACTATGGCATCAGTCACCTTCAGGCCCTCCTTCTGAAGAACTTCAACAGTTTCCAAAACACTGGCCCCACTGGTGACGACATCCTCAATGATCAGACAGGTCTGCCCTGGATTAATCTCTCCTTCTACAAGACGCTTGGTGCCTAGAACAGAAAAGCTTCTGTTGAAAGAAACATAAAATGTTTCAGCTACCTCAAGATATGGCCTAAGAATACATTTACTATGTACTTACAAAGAGTTAAGATTCTTTAAATTTTATTTATGATCATTTACTCTGAAGCTACTTTCTGTTGATTACTCAATGTGCTACAATTGTTTTGTTCAGTATCTTCTGTATCTCCAAATTGCCAATTATATACAGGTTACAATAAAACTAACAAATTATTTTACAATGGAAATAAAAACTCATTTTTCTAAACAAATGAGTTTCTTTTCTTTCTTTTTTTTTTTTTTGATTTTTTTGAGACAGGGTTTCTCTGTAGCTTTGGAGGCTGTCCTGGAACTAGCTCTTGTAGACCCTGCTGGTCTCGAACTCAGAGATCCACCTGCTTCTGCCTCCCGAGTGCTGGGATTAAAGGCATGTGCCACCAACGCCCGGCACAAATGAGTTTCTTAAAGCAAGATCATTTATAATGAAAAACAAAATAAGCAAGTATCGTCAATGAAATCATGAGTGATAAACTTGTAATCAATACTGAAGGCAATTTAAAGCCAGATGTGACACATGCCTATTACCTTAGTACTCAGGAGGGCTGCCAGAGACTCAATCTCGGCCATATGGGCCAGTCAAGGATATATAGCAAGACCCTGCCTCAAACAAACAAACAAAATAGGGCCAGGGAGATGGCTCCTCTTACAGGGAACCTGACTCAGTTTCCAAAACCCACATGACAGCTCACAACTATATGTAACTGCAGTTCCAGAGGCTCTAATGCCCTCGTCTAGTCTCTGCTGGCATTGCATGCATGTGGCACACATATGTACATGCAGGCAAAACACTCAAACTAAATTCAGATGGGAAACATTTCACAACTTGTTGGGCATCATAATCATAGTTAATTGTACAATGTGACTTCTCTACTCTTAAGCTCCACTATCATCTACAAAATGTAAGTCAGGCTCTAGGCTTCATATTCATTGTTTGAACCTCAATTTTATATTTTCTACTGCCTATATTATTTTGGAGAAAAAACAAACGGGGAGACATTCTAGCTCTTTTTTGAGCCTTACTATAAGGACATCATCTTTCACCATCCCCATTTCTTTTCTCTTCACCCTTTCTTGATGCATGGCAAGCTTAACTAAATCTTAGATTGAAATAGGACAGTCCCTGCAGGTACACTAATAAATGAGTTTCATGAACACTTGTGAACACAGAGGAAACAGCTACATTCCTCATGGGAAGGTAATTTATTTTTAGCTTCAGAATAGTATAATCAGAAACTCACCACTTAACTCATGGCCAATATCGACATCCTTATTCCATTCCCTTCCTCACGATGTTATGTATGTGTGGGCACATGTGGAGAGGTCAAAGGATGACCTACAGTAGTAGGTTCTCTCCGTCCACCAGGTGAGAGTCGGCGCCTACACTCAGGCCAGAGTCAACTGCAGGCCCCTCTGTCTGTTGAGCTATCTCACTGAACTCACAATGTTTAGTCAGCTGCAGGCCCCTCTGCCTGTTGAGCTATCTCACTGAACTTACAATGTTGCAGGCCCCTCTGCCTGTTGAGCTATCTCACTGAACTCACAATGCTGCAGGCCCCTCTGCCTGTTGAGCTATCTCACTGAACTCACAACGTTTAGATGAAGAGCCCAGATGGTGCACTTTATCTTAAAAGATCTCTTCTAAACACTAACACAGCACTACCATATCAATATAAACAAGCAAAAAATCTCATTAATTTTTAAATATCATTAAGCATCAACCCAGCCCTGATGTTTTTAGACTGATTTTCAGATTTTAAAGCCTGATACTCTGTTGTTATGAACTGTTATGGGCCCCACCACTCTGAGTTTCCTAGGAGTAATTTTCCTCTTCCTGACTACATGCATTTAGATGTAAGTATACCTAGAAGTAAGTGCTTTTACAACATCCTGCTGATGAAGGAAGGGCCAATACAAAGGCCAGGGTTCACCAGGCACTCTCTTTCTACTCCCCAGTCAACATAAAGCACTTCAGACCCAGACTCTACAGGAAGGTCTTCTGGAGCAAGTCAACTCAATAGCTCTTCAGGCCTCTGAAAAGCATCAACAGCTCTAGTAAACATCGGGGCCTGAAAGAGAACAAAATCCTAACAGGTTACACAGTAACTTGAGGCTTATGCTATTTTTATTTTACCATAATCCTTTGTTTCCTTCCTTCTAATGAGCATGGGAATGTGATTAGTTGAACAGATAACTGTAGCTAGTGGCAACGCTGTGTAAGGAACTCCACACACACTGTCAAAACTGATCTCGGCATTTTTTGCAGTTTGGAATAAAATATCTGCCACCTGTAAGAAAAGGAAGACATAAACTTCCCATTATTACTACTGTTTGAGTATTTTTTTGTACACACAGCAGCATAACAACACAGAAGATAAACTTCCACTATTACTACTACTTAGAATGCTGTGAGTCATGCAATAGCATAATAGATGGAAATACATGCCCCCAGGGTGATTCTTTTAAAAAGTAAATCCCAAAATATAAATGTTATTTATAACAATTGGCTGTTTGAGTATCCAAGGTCATGAGATAAAGTATTAAGCAACTGACTTGGGACCCATCAAAACAATCTTGAAACCTGGCATGCAAACACAAGCACCATGAACCTGTTCATCTAGATTCAGGACCTACTTTGAGGGCAACAAGAGATGTCAGGAGAATGATCCACCCCAAAGACCTTGAATCCCTAGAAGCATGGCTGGTTCTACTTTCTGAACACTTTCAGTGAACACTTTCCCAAGCATAGAGCCTATTGTGTGAAATGCATTTTATCTTTTCCACATATGTCATTCATTTTCCTTGTGTGTGTGGGTGTCCTAACACGGGGTTTCTCCTCTTCGTTTTCTTTTTTTTAGACAGGGTTTCTCTGTAGCTTTGAAGCGCGTCCTGGAACTTGCTCTGTAGAGCAGGCTGGCCTTGAACTCACATATCCACCTGCCTCTAAGATAGGGTTTCTCTGTGTAGCCCTGGCTGTCCTGGGGCTCACTCTGTAGAGCAGACTGGCCTCGAACTCAGAGATCTGCCTGCCTCTGCCTCCTGGACGCTTTAAAGACATGTGCCACTACACCAAGCCAAATCAACCATATTCTAATGTTAGAATGCATACTCCCTCCTACCCAATACTATCTTATTTTAAGGTTTTCATTTTTAAAGGCTCAGAGTTATTCATGAACCAAGTTAGCTTTTTAAAATATTTTATTCTTGTACTATCTATCCATTATTCTTGACAGGAGGGGGAGTTGTTTTGGAGACTCTCAAAACTGGCCTGAAACTCATGTTTATTTTCCTGCCTCAACCTCCTATGTGCTGGGATTATGGGCATGTACCACCCCATGCCTAGTTGTTTCTGTGTTCTTAAAAATCTGTGACGATTTTTTAAGTTGCAAAGGGTGCAATTTCTAGTACTAAAATCAAGAACATATTCAGAACTTTTATATCATTATCTGTTATGAATGTGGGAAGAAGGCAGGTATTGGAGGGGAGTTCAGTGGCAAAGCACTTTGCCTGGTGTACTCACAGTCCGGGACCTAAGCCCCAGTAACATACAGGCTACATATAAATGCTAGACAGACTATGAAAATTGGAAAATTTATGTTTTTTTTTTTTCAGATTTCACCATGTCCACAGAATTATTACACAGAAATACGTATTTCTTCCAGTGGGCTTTTACTGATTTGTCATGTTTCTTTACATGAATCTAAACTGAGATGTATATTAATTGAAATTTAAGACTACCAAGTTAAAAAAAAATTCATGATCTTGAGTCTGCTAGAGATTCTATTACACTATCATTTGCCTGGGCATATATCTAAAACATAAATCTGCAATCATCGTATAAGAAGAGATTTTGGGAATTCCTTTTTTTAGTGAGATAAATACTATCATTTCCCCCCAATTTGTGTATGTATACACACATGAAGTTATCACTTATTACTATGAAGTTGGAATAAGCATATAATTACTTTTCTGGGGGGTGCATATACTGAGAACACCTGTTTACATAAACCCCCCTTTAAACTTAAAATGTTCCTTAGAAAGGTCTTGGTAATACAGTTTCTCTGCACTGATGAGACACCGTTTCAAGATTCCGGACAACAGCAAGATTCTGGATGGCAAAAAGCTAATGTTTCAAGCCATCTCAATTAGGGGGCTTCAGTCTATTTGCAATAATCAGGCAAAATGGGTAAGAAACAAGCCTTACAAGTGTGGGACAGGAACTTAATACATTTGGGGGTGGGATAGGTTTTTTTTTTTTTTTTTTAGGGGGGTTTTCTCGAGACAGGGTTCCTTTGTGTAGCGTAGCTTTGGAGCCTATCCTTGCACTCGCTCTGAAGACCAGGCTGGCCTCGAACTCAGAGAGGCGTGCACCACCAACCCCCGGCTTGTTTTTTTTTTTTTTTTTTGTAAACAAGGTCTTCCAGTGAAACCTAAACTGACCTCAAATTCATAATTCTGCTTCAGCTTCCTGAATGCAGGAATTACAGGCGTGCACCACCATGCCTGACTACATATGTCTTTTTGATAGAACTCTGTGATGATGAAAATATCCTACAGTTATAATAGCCAACAGGGTAACCACTAACAACTTATAACTATTTTGCTAGTTTGTTTGCTTTTGAAACAAGTTCTCGTGTAGGCCAGGCTGACCTCACATCGACTGACAGAGTAGACTGGAGTGACCTTTTACCTCCTGCCTCCAGCTCCCCAGTGCTATTTTAAATATTCTGGCAGGCAAATGAACTCATCCAGTAAAGCTGGGTTCTGCCTAGCGAGACCACCTGAATTCAATCCCTTCAACCCTCATGATGGAAGGAGAGAACCCACTCCTGCAAGTTGTCACTGACCTTCACAAGTGTGCCATGGCACACGCCCGCCCGCATTTATATGTGCGCGTGAGCACGCACACACACTAATTTGCAATAAAAATTTCATGGTGCTCAACATTCACACGGAGTTGGTAGGAACACTTCCAGCATTTCCACCCTTTACTCAGTGACATGCACTTCAGCGAAGTGGCAGCTTGTTACCCTAGAAATGCCATTATCTTGCGGCTGATGATGTGGCAATTCATTTACAACCCACACAAGGTTTGAGAAGCACCGGGTTAGAAACCGCTAACGTGTACAATTTACCCCACTAAAAAAAAAAAAACAAAAACAAAAACAAAAAAAACCAACCAAACAAAAACAAAACAAAAAAGCCCAAAAAGCTGCCTTCTTGGCGTCCACCATACGGCTTTAATTTCTTACTACTGGCCACATACTACTCAAGCGAGTCCTTTGGCCAGCTACTAATTTCTCCACCCTCCCGCCTTTTCCTTTCCTCCCTAAGCCTCACTTTCTGCGGGTTAAGTACACAGAACCCACTCAAGGACTTGCCCGCCGGTCGGAACCCCACATTTCCCGACTCCCGCAAAGCACGTGTCGGTCAAGAACAAGGTCCCGAGGAGCCCGACCGACGGCTGCCGGCCTCCGTGCTCCTCCACAGCCTCTCCAGGCCGGCAGGAGAGTGGGGGGCTCGCCCGCCTGGTCTGTGGCTCTCCCTTGCCCCCGCTCCGGCCCCGGCCACACCCGCCACCTCCTGCTCTCCTTTCCCGCCACCCGGAGCCATCCTGTCCCTCCGGGCTGGCACCTGACTGAGAAGACGCGGGCGGGACACGATGCCCCGCAGGTCGATGTAGACCGGGGAGGTGAGCCCGCTCTTCAGCACAAAGCTCCCGAACTTGAAAGCCTGCACGTCGTACAGCTCGGTGACCAGGAGGCCCAGAGCTTCGCTGGCGACCGCCATTCTCGCGCGCTCAGTTCGCTCTGGAAGCCAAGCCGCTCGGGGCCCGTGACGTCACCCAGAAGACCCGCCTCTTCCGCCGCCCTTTCCGGCCTGGACCGCGGGGGTCCGCGCTTGTGCTAGCTGCTTCCTGGTTGGGGCTCTGGGCTTTGAAACCTGCAGGCTAAATTGATGCTCTCCGGAGGGAGTGTGTAGGCCCTGCTCGGGTTTTTCGTTTGTTTGTGTTTTGTATTTTAGCTTAGCGTGTCCTTGATTAAATAGAATCCAGATGTTAAAACAAGTTGTTCTTATTGCCAAATCAAAACAACTTTCATCTCTGGATTCTGCTAACTGACAGGGAACTATAGATCCACCTCATTCCCACCTGTGGGGCACCTGGAGTCTTTGAAAGAAAGATCATGCCTGTATAGGTTCTCTCAGATGGCTGGACTCCTACCAGGATGCATAAACCTGAGAGATCCAGCTGGAGTCGATTCTGTCCTTTTACTGCTAAGTCCTGTGGATCAAACTTAGGTCCTCAGGCTTGGCAACGGCACTGTTACCTGCTGGGCTATCTTGCTGGTCCACTAATGGGACTTTTTTAAAAAGCTTGCCAACATTTGGGAGGAAGAGGGAAAAAAAAATTACTCATGGGGGGGGGTCAGATGAGGAGGCTTAGTTAGAAAAAATAAATAAAAGACAAGGACCAGTGAGATGGCTCAGTGGGTGAAGGGACTTGCTACGAAGCCTGATGACCTGAGTTCAATCTAAGGGACCCACATGGTGGAGAGAATCAGCTTCTACAGGTTGTCTTCTTATACACACATTGTGGCTCCCACACACCCCACACACATACACACACACACACACACACACACACACACACACACACAACCATAAATGTTATACATTTTTTAAGGGGGAGGCGACTAAAAATAGTATCCAGTATATTATATTTATAGGAATGCATAACATGTGAAATGTACATTTTGAAACTTCATCCACAATTTATAACATTTACTGCAGTAATAATAACGAGACA